GGTGTGCAATAGCTGCTCAATAAACACACCCAGTAAATGAAGGGAGGCTGCCAGGTAGGTGATGTTGGGGAGGACGAAGGAAGCAGGCATGGGGGGTGGGATTCAGAGCGACAGAGGGTGCAGGAGCCTGGAACTGAGATGGTGTCTCTTATTTCTGTGGACTGCAGACCAGAGTGGGCATGGAGGGCTTACGATGGAGGCCCAGACCCGGACCTTGAGGCCTTCAAAGGGTGCAAGCTGCAGTGAACAGCCTGGTTTCTCAGGGCTGTGAAGCCACGGAGTGTTCTGAGCAGAGAAGGCAGGTCGAGTCTAGAAAGATCCCTTGGGCCTGGCGCTGGGGCTGGAGAAGGCGAGAGACAGGCAGGAGGCCAAGGCAGTAGCCGACCTGGCCCAAGGCTGGGAGCAGGGATGAAAAGTCAGGTTCAGGAGGGCCCGCTGTGTCTGCAGCGTCGAGGGTGGGTGAGGGAGGTGCCCGTGCGCTCTGGGGACACCATGCTTAAGGTGCGAAGCTAGGGGTGGGTGGAGGGGCAGGGCCGGGCACCAGTCTGAAGTCAGGGCGCTCCTCTGGCGCCCCCTGCTGGCCAGCAAGACTCCAGGCGGCCTGGCTGCCCGAGGGTGGAGGACCCACCCTGCGGACACCAACGCTGACCAGTGATCACCAGTGACATTCCCGGGGTGACAAAGCGTCAGGGGCTGCAAGGCACACTGTCTCCCCTCTCCTTAGCCTAGGCCTCCAGCTGCCCTTTCCCTCCAGCAGGCGATGGACTCAAGACTGGGCTCTCAGACCCTTGTTCCTTCCTCTCCTCCCTACTTTCTTCTTTCCCTCCTTACGTTATTTTATTTTATCATATTATTTTTTGTGCTTTTGAGAGAGGGTCTCCATATGTAGTTCAGGCTGGTCTTGAATTCACTATGTAGCCTAGGCTGGCCTCGAACTTGTGGCAATTCTCCTGACTCAGTCTCCGGAGGGATGGTGTGGCCAGCACCATGCTGGGCTTTCAAAGTGTAAACCTTAATCATTTAATCCATGGCTTTAGTGGGTAGATGTCAGAGGCTTTCAGTGAATCCATGGAGTTGGGCAACATCTCTGCACCCAACTGAAAAATCTGTCATTATCCCACCGCCATTAGCAGTCACCCTCTGTGCCCCCTCCCAGCCCCTGGCCTCCACTCCCCTGCATTCTCTATGGACTTGTCTCCTGTGGACTCTGCACAGATGTGGACTGTATGATGTGTGGCTTTCGTGGAGGCTGCTTGAATTTAGTGTTATGTTTCTTCTTCGGTGCTGCCGCACGCGTCTGAGTTTTGCTCCCTTCTGGAGCTGAGTATCATTTCTCTGCACACTACCACAGTTTTGCCAGCACTCTGGGAGGCTGAGGCGAGAAGACCGCAAGTGTGAACCCAGGTCCGGGCCACTCAATGACCTAGTGAGATTCTGGCTTAAAATAAAAATCTGAAAGGTTGGTGAGTGGCTCTGTGTGAAGGACTTGGGTTGGACCCCCTTACCCAACCCATCCACGTTTTGTTCATCCATCCATGCGCTGCTGGCTGCCCAGGTTGTGCCTACCTTGGGCGCTTGTAATGATGCTGCTGTGATCTCCGTTCACTCATGGTGCCATATTCCTTGCTGGTCGCTGGCCTGTGGTTTGCCCCGCGGAGAGGTCAGCTCTCCACCATCTCTGCCTCCCTGGAAGCTCCCAGGTGCTGTTTTGTTCCAAGTATCCTTTCATTCTTGTGCTCCTGGATGGTCCAGTCCTGTGTCTGCTGCGTGAGCAAAGGGTCAGGGAGTGGAAAGACGGCCCTCTGTCTCTTCAGAAAGCAGCGCAGTTGCCTGGGTTTGAGTTTGAATCCTAATAATGTAGTCACTGAGTAGCTTGTACCAGCCTCCAGAGCGCCCTCTTCTGGGGTACACGTTAGGAGCGCTCTTGCCCAGTGCGACATTAGCTTGTACCACGTGACTTGCTCTGGCAGTGAAGCTCACAGACCTGAGTGCTGAAGACGCTGCCAAGTTGGAGGTTCGGTTATATGAAATTAGAATTTAAAGGCGCAGGGGGTGACAGAATCTCTCTCTCACTTGGCTGTGCTCTCCCTCAGGGCGTTGCCCTCAGCCACACAAACTCGGCTCCCATTATCCCATGTGTTCTTCATGTGTTTCCCCGGGGAAAGGAAAACCAGACGAGGAGGGATTCCTCTCCCATGAAAGACAGGACCTAAGAACTACCCGTGTCTTCTGCTTACACTTCATTGGCCTGCAGTTAGTCACATGACCACATATAGCTGCAAGGACTCCTGGGAAATGTAGTTTTTATGTTATAATAGGCAGCCAGCCACATGCCTGGTTGAAAACTCCAAGGAAAAGGAGAGACTGGATATCCAGGCTTAGTAAGCAGTGGCTAGAACAGAAAATGGGAGGCTTGTGAGTTTCTTTGTCTTGGCTCAAAATTAACAGAGACTGGATCCTTGAACCCTGGATGATCATGTTTGAAGGAGCTCCAAAGGGCAGGCCTCAGCTGTTTTGAAAGGCTGCAGATGGAGAAGTCCCTGCCCAGCCTGAGCTGTGACTTCCCCTCCTGAGAATTCTTCCTCACCCTCTACTTTTTTGGGGGTTACTTCAGGCTGCCTTAAGGGCGAGTCTGGCGCAGCTTCTGGAGCTGGGAATTGAACTGCGGCCCTATGAGCCTGACTGCATTTGCCCAAGCGGCGCTTTAAACAACTGAGCTATCCGACAAAGCCCTAAAATTTGAGCACATTGCAACCACTTGGTGCTTTTTAAAATTTTTTTTAAATTTAATGTGTTTAGCACAGGGTCTCACTACACAGCTCTGATCTTCCTGTTTTCAGCCTCCCAAGAGCCTGGATTACAAGCCTAGGCCACAACACCCAGTCTCACTCCTCATCTCAGCGTGCCCCGGGGGTGGGGCCCGCGTGGGAGGCCGGGGATGGAACCCCAGTTTCTGAGTCTGCCTAAGCAGGCGCTTTACCCTGCTGAGCTATCTGGCCAGCCCCCTACATTACTTTCTTTCTTTTTTTTTTTTAATTTTATTTATTTGTGTGTGTGTGTGTGTGTGTGTGTGTGTGTGTGTGTGTGTGGCCAGCTCAGCCCACCAGGGGGCGGGGCTGGCTGGCATGTGGTGCTGGGGGATGGAACCGTGGTCCCTGTGCTTTGCTAAGCTTGCTCTAAGTAGGTGCTTTAGACCACTGAGCCATCTCACCAGCCCCCCTACATTACTTTCTTACAGCTGCTGGAACAAAGTGCCACAAACTAAGTGATTTAAAACAACATGTATTGGGGCTGGGGAGATGGCTCAGTGGAATAAGTGCTTCCCTGGCAAGTGCAAGGGCCTGAGCTCAATCCCGGGTTCTGCCAAAAATAAAAATAAAAAAAGAATTTCCTTTTTAAAACAACATGTATTTATTATTTTACACTTTAGATGGCCCAGCGTCTAAAATGATCTCGTTGGGCATGGTGGAGCACACCTGTAATCCCAGTACTCCCCTGAAGGCTGAGGCAGGAGGACTGGCAAGATTTTGAGGACCATCTGAGCTACATAGTGAGTTCAAGGTCGGCCTAGGCTACATGGACCCTGTCACAAAACAAAAACAAACAAACAGTGCGTCTCTCTGGTGTATCAGAAGGTGTCAGCAGGCCTGGGAGCATCCGGGAAACTTGGGGAGGGAAGCCGTGTTCTTGCCTTTTCTGCTTCTAGAGGGCCCTGTGTCATCACAGCTCTCAAGGCTGATGGGAACTGTCTTACAAGGCAGTACTCTGACTCGGGGGAGTGGCCTGGCTGCGGTCCCTTTCCTGCCTTGAAGCTGTGTCCTGTCAGGCTCTGCTCCTGTTGTGGTCACAGTTTCTTCTGGCTCTGACTCTCTCCTTGTTCCTCTCTGAAGGGGCTTCTGATGACATATGGGGGCCACTTGGGAAATTCAGGGTCACCTCCCCATCTCCAGACCCTGTGTGCAAGCACAGCTGCAATCTTTTGTCATCTGAGGTCACATTACTGTCATTTGAGTGACCATTATTTGGTTACACAATCTCTTTTAACCCCACAGCCCCCCCCCCACTGTTTTTTTTTTTTTTCTTTCAGTGCTGGGGACTGAACCCAGGGCCTTCCCACTGAGCTACACCCTCAACTCATTTTCAGCTCTTAAATCTTGAGACAAGATCTCTCCAGATTGCTAATGAGGATCCTCCTGCCTCAGCCTCCTATGTGCTGGGGTTACGGGCTTGTATCTGACCTGGCCCTGCACGATCTGCCCCATCTCTGCGACTTCAGTTTCCATCCTTTTCCCTTTCCCCTCTCTGCCTCCACCACGCCGTCCTCCTCTGCTCTTCTGTACACCCCTCCTCAGGGCCTCGAGCCTGCTGCTCCCGCTGGCTGGAATGCTCTCCCTCTAGAACCCCATGGGTCCTTCTTTCCCTCCTTTGTCACCTTTTCAGTGAAGCCTTCTCTGCTCTCCCTAGTTCCAATCTCTGGGTCCTCGTCCCTCCTCTATCTTCCCTGGTGTGAGTGTGAGGTAGTTGTTTTGCTTTTGGGTCCTTGCCCCTGTGCCAGGGTTCTTCCAGGACAGCAGGGGTTTGCGTCTGTTGTGTTTCCTGCCCGAACTCCGAGGGTCTCCACATTGCCTGTGGACAGCGAGGACTCATTTATTGCTGAGTGAATGAATCAAAGGGCCATAAGCTGAGCCCACACTCAAGACGGGAGCAGGGCTCTGCCCTCAGAGGTGGTGGTGACACCCAGAAGTTGGCAGCAGATTCCGCGGTGGGGCCACCCAGATATCTGGCTCTGGCTGTGGCCCAGAGGAGGTGGTGCCGACTCCTGCAGACTCAAGGCTGACTGAGGAGCTGGGCCTGTCATTGCCCTGTCTCCTCACCACTCTGTCCTATGCAGAGCCTTTGTGTGACCAAGTCCACCTCACCAGATCCTGATGGCCTTGTCCTTCCGGGTCTTCTCTGCAATGTGCACCCCTAATCCAGGACAGCCTGGCTCCCCAGAGCCCTCAAGAGGACGTGGGTGCCAGCTGGCAGTAAGGGGCAGGGTCAGGGTGCAGCAAGTCCTGGGATTGGAGAGAGGGATTAGGATTGGAGGAGGAGGAGGGGAGGAATGGGTCCCTGAGCCAAGGTCTACCGGGCCCTGGCCGCCGTGTGACCCAGCAGCCCTTCCCTCTCTGGGCCTTGTCCCTCCTGTGAATGCAGGGCCCAGATGCACAGAGGTGGAGACCTTAGGTGCGGGGAGGGATCTTCCCAGGGCGTTCCCCGGAGGCTGGATCCTTCCAGCTTGGGAGGGCAGTGGAGAGATGAGGGATAGACCCCCTCCACCCTTCCCTGGGTCCTGGGTCCCCAAGTCCCCTCCACACCTGGTAGTGCTGATTCTCCGGCTCTGGCTGCAGGCGTGTGGGCAAGGTGGGGGGCTGCAAGGGAGGAGTGCGGCTGAATGGGGCACCTGACTGCCTCGTCCCTCTCCTTGCTTTACTTTTCTTTTTTGGTGCTGGGCACTGACTCCAGGGCCTTTGCACTGTGCCATATCACCAGCCCTTTGCAATTTTCATTCTGAGATAGGATCTTGCTAAGTCCCTAAATTACCCAGGCTGGGGTCAAACTTGTGATCCTCCTGCCTCAGCCTCCTGAATAGCTGGGATCACAGGTGTTCAACATGCCTGCCCAGCTCCTGTGTCCAGTCTTTGACCTCAGGTATCATGAGGCCTGGATTCAAAGTCCCCACTGCTCCTCTTTCCCCTGACCATGGTGCTCTTGGGCAAAGGAAGCCACTTCGCCACATGTCACAGTCCCCCTCTGACAAGGGCACCCTCGGTGGCCCAGTCACCCAGAAGACTCAGCCTCCAGGCCACATCTGGCTTCTCAGCTTGCAGCCTTTGCCTGGTAAGCTTCTCTTTTTATGATGTGAACAACTTATTTAACATCCCTCCCTCCTTCCCATCAGCAAGCACAAGGTCCCAGGTTTGATCTCTGGTACCACGAAGAAAAAAAAAATGGTGAGAGAGACAGAGGGAGAGGGAGGAAGAGTGAGAGACAGACAGAGCTATGGTTTCCAAATCAGATGCCAAGGCACCCCAAGGTGCTGCCAGCAGCTCAGAGGGGGCTACTGTTGGAAGCCAGCTTTAGGGAAGAGGGTGGTGATGGGACTCACCGTCGCTGAGGTCATGGGCTCCACGCCACTATGGGGGGACACCAGGGTGACTGGAGGTGGCATCACTTCATAGATGTTGTCACCTGCAGCACAGGTCAAGGGGAAAGAGCAGCTAAGGGTGGTGTGTGACAGTCACGGATTCATTCACTCAGGCTCTCCTCTTGCTGGACCACGTGCTGGGGACACTGTGGTGACCAGGGCAGCTCAGGGTGCTCAGGGTTGGAGGCCAGTGTGGGTTCGGGAAGAATGGAAACCTCAGGAAGGTAGAGGGGAGAGACCTGGCGGGGAGGGAGTGACGGGGCCAGGCTCTAGGAACCTTGGCTGCGTGCGTGCCTGCGTGCGTGCGTGCGTGATCCGGATTACCTGGAAGGAGCAAGTCCCATACAAGACAAGAGACCAGGAAGGACAGTGAGGGTGGTTTGTGAGGGTCCTCGAGAACTACGTTAAGGAGGCTGAGCTCTTCCAGGGGGAAAGGGGAGCCACGGAGGGTGCTGGAGCAGAGGAGCTGGGGTGGGGCCCCTGTGCTGACTCTGGCCTGTGTGGTGGACAGGAGCCTGGCGCAGTGGAGGGAGGAAGGGCAGGTTTGGGGTGGGGCCTGGCTGGGCCGGGAGGAGGCATGGAGAGGCCCGGGGAAGGGCGGGCGGTGGGAACCAGGCTCCTGCTTACCAGTGTCAGGATGGGCGCTCAGCTCTGGCTTTCCTGTGGCCGTCACCCTGGGGGTTCACGGGAGGAGCCACATCAGGATAGTGAGGGAGGCTAGACAGCCCCCTAGGAGGATAGGATGGGGTGGTGTGGGGCCTGGTCCCTCCCTCCCTTCCACAGGGCGGTACCTGGAGTTCTGTCCCCTGCGGCCCCTCAGAACCAGGAGGCAGACCATGCCGCTGATGAGCAGGGCCAAGGCGGCCAGAGGCCCCACGGTGGCGGCCACCACGATGCCGGTGTTCACGGGCAGGTGTGCGGCTGCAGGGGCGGGCGGGTCCTCCTGCTTCTCTGCAGGTGACAGGGCAGCGTGACATCCCGGCCAGCGCACGCACGCCCTCCACGGGGTACTCACGAGCGGTTCTCTGTTTCTGGTTCAGGGTTTTCTGGTTTTCGAGTGACTTCAGCCGCGAAGGCACAAAACACCCAGCCCGGCGGGGTCAGTTTCCCTAACGACCCTCTTCGCTGTGGCCTCACATGATCACGGAGTCGCCGGGCTCCCGTGGGCCTCTTTCTAGGGACACTGATTCCACTCACAGGCTCTGCACCCTGCCCAGCTGGTCACCTCTCAGAGCTGGGGCTTTTGGGCGGGGGCCAGTGCTCAGTGGCAGGGCGCTTCCCCAGCATGCACGAGGCCCAGCGGTCATCCCCGGCACCACAGAACAAGACGGAAATGTCAAAGACCCCACCTTGTAATGCCGTCGTCACCCTGGGGTTAGCATGTCAACGCATGACTTTTGAGGTAGGAAACAAATATTCAGGCTATAACACCTCCTTCCCTCAACCACTTTCTCCCGGGCTGTTTCACGTGTCACCTCTGTAGTCACGCTGCCTCGAAGACCTCCTTTCCACATCATGCCTGCCCCATGTACTTTTTCTGTTTGCTTGAGACAGGGCCTCAAAGCCAGGCTGACCTCAAACCAGCGGCATCCTCCTGCCTCAGCCTCCCGGAGTCTAAGGCTGACAGGTGTGCACCATCTTACCCCGCTTGAGCAGTTGTTTGAAGGTAAAAATAAATTACTCTTGGACAGTGGTTCTCAAAGGGGTGATTTTGTTCTGGGACACAAATCTGGAGATGTCGTTGGTTGTCATAGCTAGCAAGGCGCCCCTGGTGTGTGGTGAGTGGGGGTCACAGGTGCTGCAGACCCCCTCTGCAAGGCACTGCTCACTGCTCCAGAATACTCAGAAATGTCAGGGTGCTGAGGACGAGAGACCACATGGGACACAGTGGCCCCCCTGTAACCCCAGCACTCTGGGGCGTGCAAGGGCAATCACAAGTGCGAGCCTAGGGTGGACAGTTTAGTCCAACTCGGTCTCAAAATATAGAGACATGGCCTGCAGGGTGCGCGGTCAGTATGTGTTGCTAGGCAGGAGGAGAACAGATGAACGGTGCTTTGTGCTGGGCCTGACTGACAGCACCACCTGCACCCCTCAACTTTCCCACCTCCTCCTCCAGGCCCCTGGCACTCACCGGCCACCCGGACTGTGGTCTTGGCCCTCATGGTCCAGTCGGGGTTGACGGTGATGGCGACTTGGTAGGTGCCGCTGTCTGAAGGCTGGGCACGCCTCAGCAGCATGGAACCGTTGGAGAAGCCAACGATGTCTCGCTGACCCATAGCGTTACCATCCCTCTGGGGCCGCGGGAGCCCGGGGATGTAGGAGAACAGCCTCGTGCCTCCATCAGCCTCCTCGCCCAGGTACCAGATGACGTCTTGAAAGGTGCCGGGGACACCCTGGACGGACAGGAAGAGGTTCTGGTTCTTTTGAGGCTGCTCTGGAATCTTCTGGATGCGGAGAGCTGCCTGGATACCTTGAGGCAGCCAGAGGGCCAGGACGGAGGCTGGAGGAAGTTATGGGGACAGCTTGAGATGGGGCGTGTTGGGCAGAGCCACGCATTCTCCTCCCCAGAGATCCTGGTCTGGGGCAAGAACTCCTAGCACTGTGTGCTGAAGGCAGTGCTGGCATTGATTAGCGATGCCTGCTCTGCATGCAGACATTAAAATCGGTACTGACACCACAGATGTGCCATCCCATTGGTCCAGAAGATTATTCTGCCCTGAGATGCTGTGTGGCTTGCCCCGAAATGCTTGGACTTTCTTAAACCAATACTTACAATGTATATATAATACATTTAATATATATAATACATTTAATACAAATAACTACTATACCAACCAACCATTCCAGTGATCATATATATATATATATATCATATATATTCATATTCATATATATATGAATATATATATATATTCAATATTCATATATATATATATATATATTCCCTAGATTTCTCAGCAGTGGGATACAGCAGAGAACTAAAAACAAATAAATTCCTGTTCACATCCTAGAACATTCCACAGATAAAATGAGGATAACCAGGTGTGGTTGTGCATGCCTGTAATCCCAGAATTTGGGAGGCTGAGGCAGGAGGATTGCCACAAATTTGAGGCCGCTTGTGCCACATGGAGAGCTGGAGACCAGCCTAAACTACAGAGACACTGTCTCAAAATATGAAAACACAAAAGAAGGATGAAGCTATGATTCTACCGCCCCAAGCAGCTCACTGTGATCGTTTCCTCTCCCCAGCATCTCCCCTTCCTTCTGGGGAAGCTTCTGTTGGGGCTAAGTCCCTTGTGACCCCCAGCCCTCTGAGGTTGTCCCCTCCTTACCTGATAACAGGAACCCCATTGAGAAGCAGCCCAGGGTTCCCATGAACATCTCCATCTTAGTTCCTATGGCGATGCCAAGGGCCACGGTCAGGTGCCAGGGGGGCCAGGTGCCAGGGCTGGCTCACTGAAGCAGCCCAGCTCAGTGGAGCTCAGGGCCGGGTGGGATCCTCAGGACACCTGAAGCCAGCCCAGCTTCCGCACTGCCTTCCACAGCCTGGCTTATGTGTCTGACAGCAGCAGTGACACTGGCTGAACCAGTTTCCCAGGGTGTCTGGGAACTTGCTGGGCTTCCCCAGGCTCCTCCTTGGTCCCTTCAACCTCTTTTTCCCATCAGCAGGACTGTGGGTGATCCCAGACACTGTCACTGCAGCCTCAGGTTGAGCAATCCTCTACCACTCAATCTCTCATGACAGCTGCTGCACAGCACTGTGCCCATTTCATGGATGGGGGGACTGAGGCCTAGGGAGACAGGCACATCTTCCAGGGGGGAGAGGTAGAGGTGGCACAGCACCCAGGGCTGGCTCACTCTAAAGTACTTCACTTCCCCCTCCCTTTTTTAGTAGTAGGGATTGAATGCAGGGTTTTTGCACTGAGTTACATCCCCACCTTTTCTTTGTTTTTTATTCAGAGAGAGGATCTTGTTCAATTGCTCAGTCCCCCAGGCTGACCTTGAGCTTGTGATCTTCCCAGGGGCCTGGGATTACGGACAAGCACTACCATGCCTGGCTTCTTAGTTTTTTCAGAAGCATTCATTCATTCCAGCGTATGTTTCCTGTGCCCACTTGCACGAGACTGTGATGACAGAGCCCTTCAGCCGGCCCTCAGTCCTCAGAGGGCTCACTGTCCTGTAGGAGACCCAGGTGATGGGGACCCAGAGGGGTCATCCCAGTAGCCGAGGAGAGCCCCAGGGATGCCTGCCTGGGCTGGTGGGCTGGGAGGGCTTCCTGGAGGAAGCACCAGCTCAGCTGAGACCTGGAATGGCACAGAAATGGGACAGATGATGGGTGGCGTGGGGTGGGGTGAGCGTTTGGCTGTGTGACAGTGTAGGCAGAGGTGGAGGCCGAGACGGCAGGGGCATTGAGCAAGCTGCGTGCTCCTGGGCAGCTGGAGGGCGGAGTAGGCAGATGCCGGCATGCGCCTGTGTGCCTGTGTGCCTGTGTGTGTGTGTGCGCGTGCTTGGGTGTGGGTGCCCGGCTGGGGAGGTGGACAGGATTAATTGTGCCCTTAGAGAGTGCTGAGCTACGTCCTTAGTATTTTTTTTTTGAATTTTAAAAAAAGATTTACATTTATAATCTTTTCTTTTTTAAAATTAATTAATTAATTAATTAATTGTGTGTGTGTGTGGCCAGCTCAGTCCACCAGGGGGCGGGGCTGGCTGGCATGTGGTGCTGGGGATTGAACCGCGGTCCCTGTGCTTTTGCTTAGCTTAGCTTGTTCTAAGTAGGTGCTTTAGACCACTGAGCCATCTCACCAGCCCCAGTCCTTTGTATTTAATTTTTCAGATAGGACAGGTCTGGCTAAACTGCCCAGGCGGGGTTGCAGATGTGGTTGTAACCACCTACTGCCACACACTGCCTGTTTTTTTTTTTTTTTTTTTTTTTTTGTCTTTTTTTAAAGAAAGGGTCTTGCTATGCAGTTTAGGTTGGTCTTGAGCTCACTTTGTGTCCCAGGCTGGTCTCGAACTCACAATGATCCTTCTGCCTCAGTCTCCTGAGTTCTGGGATTACAGGCATGTACTACCATGCCTGGCTTCTGCCTGGCTTTGAACTCTGTTGGGTCAGAGCCTGAGTGGTGGAGAGACCAGGCTTGAGCTATCTAATATTGTAGCCCTTAGCTACAATAATAATGACAATTAATTAATGTTAATTTAAATAACCACTTAAAATGTAAAAAAAAATAGCCATTTGAAATGTATGTTTTATTTAATATATTTAATATGCTTCCTATATACTTAAATATACTTCTTTTTGGGGACAGGGTCTTACTATGTAAATCAGGTTGGCCTTGAAATCACTTTGTAGCCCAGGCTGGCCTGGAACTCAGAAAGATCCTCCTGCCTCAGCCCCCTGAGTGCTGGGATGACAGACATGCACCACCAAATGCATGAAACAGTTGAGTCTCGCAGACTTCCAGCTGCTCAGTAATGCTGTGTTAGTGGCTGTCATACTGGCCAGCACAGATAGGGAATGCTGCCTTCATAATTCCAGAAATTTCTAAAGGGATGGGTGCTGCCGTGGAGATGTGGGGCGGGTGGTGCCGGGCTGGCTGCATTTGTGGCCTCGTGGAAGAGCATGCTGAGCTGGGGCTCAAGGTGTCAGCACTACAGCATGCGTGTCCAGGACATGGCCAGTCAGAGGTCATGGCGCCGCATTGTCCCAGGCTGGGGCAGGTGAGGAAATCACAGACTTCCGATCTCCGTGAGCGCCGATGTGATCCAAGGAGACGGAACAGCTGCAGGCTCCAGGGCTCTTCACTTCTGTGCGCCTCAGGTTCTTCCCTGGGTGTGGAGCTATGACTGCCGCTGACTCACAGGGCTGCCTCGAGCAGCAGCCAGCCCGCAGCAGGACCCCACACGCCCATGCTCAGTACCAGCACCACTGAGCTTGGTCTTGGACTCACCTCACCTCCCCATCCTGCAAGATTTCTTGGTTACCCGGGGTTCCCGTGCCCCCTCCATCCTCCTTGTCCTAGTTGTGTGATTTCCCATGTCTGCCAGGGCCAGGTTGTCATGCCTCAGCAGTTATTGACAGCTGGGCATATGGCAGAGCCAGCTGTTCTAGATTTTTCAGTTGCTGGGGATTGTCTGTCTGCCTGTCTGTCTGTCTGTCTGTCTGTCTGTCTGTCTGTCTGACTGTCTCTTGCTCATTCTCGATCTCACTCTCTCTTGTTCTCCTTTACATTATTAAAAAGGAAGTGTCCTTTCCTCACCTGTAACCCTACCACTCTTGGGGGTGGGGTCAGGAAGGTCGAAAGTTCAAGCCCAGCCTGGACAATTTACCAAGACTCTGAATCTAAAAAAACAAAAAAGACTGAGGAGCATGGATCAGTGTGAACACTCTGGGTTCACTTCTCAATACAAAAGAAAAAGGAAAAAAGAGTCCAGACTTATTACAGCATGTTTATAAACAGTACCCAAAAGGTCAGAACCAAGTTCAATTTTGCTACCCAGAGGTGGACGTTAGTTACTAACAGCCTTCATCCTGGTTTTGCCCCATCCCATTCTTCTGGCCAGGGATTGGTTGAGTGCTGGCCAGCGCTGGCCAATGAGATCAGAGACAATGCTGCTGGGAAGGGAAACTACTCTTAGAGGTTCAGGCAGGAAGGGGTGTGCTGCTTCTCTGATGGGAACCTGGAAACGATGTCTGGAGCACAGCAGCCATCTTGGCATTGACGGAAGATGATGCCAGGATGTGGAGGAAGCAGGACTGAGCCTTCAGAGGGTGCCTGGGGAGATCCAGAAAATCCAGGTCCTTGTTTTCAGTGCCAGCCAGGAGGGGGAGGGGCAGGGGAGCAGCTTCTGCCCTTGTGATTGAGGCATCCTCCCCTTTCCCTTCCTTTTTACAGAATTTCTCCTTTGGTTCACAACTTTAACCTTTTGTGTGTACAAGGGACCAGAAAGAAAATTTTTTCCTGTAAAGAATTAAAAATTGTTTTTCATTGTGGTAAGGCGCACGTAAAACCTACCATCTTGCTAGAAGGATCCAGTTCTAAGCCAGTCACTATGGTGGCGATGTTGTGCAGCCATCCATGCTAATTCCAGAACATGTCTGATTCTAGAATATTTCTGTCCTCCAGAGGGAACTCTCGACTGCATTAAGCGGCTGCTTCCCATTCTGTCCTCCTTTGGTCCTGGCAGCCATTATTCTGTCTCTATGGATTTGACTGTTTTGCATATTTCATAAGAATGAAATCATATGATAGGCATCTTTTTTTCCTCAGTACTAGGGATTGAACCCATGACCTTCATCCTGAGCTATATCCTCAGCCCTTTTTCTTATTTTTTAAAAATTTTTTTATTTTGAGTCAGGGTGTCGCTAAGTTGGGAAATTGCCCAGGCTGAGCTTGAACTTGTGATTGTCCTGCCTCAGCCTCCCTGAGTGCTAGGATTACAGGCTTCTGCCATCATGCCTAGATTGCTGCTACACTTGATAGAACTGTCTGTGCTGTGGAGTCGTAAAGGCTAGTGGCCCCAGGGGACAGGAGCGTCCTGCACAGGGCCCACCGTGGATAGCAATGTCGTTCTGGGTGCGTGTGGTACATGTTTGCTGCCTGAGTGTGAGGCTTGCTGGAGGCCAAGAGCAGACAGCAGAGGGCCTAATACCCCCCAAATATCCAGGTCCCCATGCTGGGCCTTGTGATTCTGTGAGGGAACTTGGTAACGAGTTTGCAGATGCGATGAGGCTCTGGTGAGGGGGTGATGGCTCCACGTTACCAGGGGGCCCTGCAGTGACCACGGGGTCCTCATAAGGGACAGTGGTCACAGTTGGATGGGGGATGGGAGGTGGCAAGATGAGGGCTGCAGGTGGCTTTTGGAAGCTGGGAGGCACAGGGACTGATTTTCGCCTCGAACCTCCAGGATGGAGCAGGTGCCTGCGAACAGCCCACTGTAGCCCGCTGGGCTCCCTTCGGACTTTTTTTTTTTTTTAAATGTATTTGGTACAGGGTCTACAAGGTCTCACTATGTAGATTGGACTCGTAGTGATTCTCCTGTTTTCAGCCTCCCAAGCACTGGGGTTACAAATGCGTGACACCATGCCCAGCCTCAATCACTGTCCCAGTGCACCCCTGGGGAGGGGCCAGCACGGCACGCAGGGATCAAACCCCGGCCACTGCGCTCTGCCTACGCAGGTGCTTTAGTCTGCTGAGCTATCTGGCCAGCCCTCACTTCGGGCTTCTGAGCTCTAGGACAGGAACAGAACTGGTGTTGTTTGGGGGCTGGGATGAAGCCCATTCTTCGTGCATGCTAAGCAGGTCCTCCACCCCTGAGCTCCACTGGTAGTGCTAATTCTGTTTTCAAAGCCACTAAGCTCATGCTAAGATGATTAACTTACTGGG